AAGAAGAAGAAGAAGAAGAAGAAGAAGAAGAAGAAGAAGAAGAAGAAGAAGAAAAAGAAGCTGAAAACAAAAAGATATTTTTGGAATGGCAACAAAAAGAATGAGCTGGAGAGATAGCTCAGTAGAATAAGAGCTTGCCTGGCAAGTGCAAGGTCCTGAGTTCAATCCCTGGTACTACAAAGAAACAAACAAACAAAAAACCAAAAAGAAAGAAAGACTGAATGAATAAATGAAAGAAGGAAAGAAAAGAAAAGACTCCAAGAGACCTGTGATCCCAGCTATCCAGAAGGCTGAGGCAGGAGGATGGGAAGTCTGAGGCTGGCCTGGGGAATGTAGTGACCATCTGTCTCACACTAAAAAAAAATAAATAAATAAAAAGGACTGGGAGCTGTAGCTTAGTGGTAGAGCGCTTGCCCAGTGTGTGTGAGGCCCCAGGGTCCATCCCAAAGGACAGACGAAGGGAGGGAGGGAGGGATTCACCGCACCTTCTAGGTCACATGGAAAGCGCAGCCTCTCTGGTTGTCCCCCAGTCATAGCCAGCACTTGAGCCCTGGTCCCGTGTGCGGAGAGGTGGGCCAAGCACAGCCCAAGTTCCTGCCAGGAACCCCATCAGGTCGGCATCTCCTCTTCCTGTCTCAGCTGCTTCATTTCTATGGGGCCACTGAGGCTCGGAGCCACAAAGTATCCATGGGCACCAGAGCCAGGTGTGTCTGGCCTGGGGTGTGGCTCTGGGAGGACCCGTCTACTGACTACAGAAGCACCTGTGGATGGTGACAGTGTCTCTGTCCTGAGGACAGACAGGCACAGCGCCCCTTGGCTCGGCCTGGCAGTCTGCCACTCGGGAGAGCACAGCAGAGCGGAAACGCCTTGCAAGTGGCCTAGCAGGGTGCTTGCGCACAGCTCTGAGAGCTGAGCTGTGATGGTAGCGATCACACCAAGCCCCATGGAGAACTGGGGGAAGGGGGGTGTTTTGTTTTGTTTTGAGACAGGGTCTCACTATGTGGCCCAGGCTGGCCTTGAACACATAGCAGCCCCCCTGCCTCAGCACATGTTGGGGTTACAGGTGTGTACTGCCACCCCTAGCCAGAGCTGTTTTAATGAGCAGCTATTCACTGCAGCCCAGTATCCATAGCAGATTCACAATCACTGGCCCCCCTGCGTCCCTTCTCCTGATGCCAGGCGACCACTTCGAAGCCCACAGCCCTGCCCCTAAAGCAGTGACCCCAGCGGCAGCCAGTGTGGGTGACTGCACCCCAGCGTGGCCCAGCTCTGGGTGGGCATGTGGCTTCAAGAATCGCCACTTCCTGGAGGTCTCCACTTGCAAAATGGGCCCGGAAAGGGGTCAGACAACACTGGTGCTGCGATCACTGAGCCTTTGTCGGGGCAGGAAAAGCGTCTTCACTTTACCACCGGGGTCCAGGGCTGCGGCCTGGGTACAAAAGGCAGATTTGCAACAGGAGAGATGCAGGGCCTGGTTCACCTGATACAGGAAATGGAGAGCCAGAGACGCTGTCAACTCTATGTGTTTTCATGCTGGGCTTGAGGAAGAGGTGGCAGCCATGGAGAAGGGGAGGGGCCAGACAGGAGTCACAGAGGGCAACCATCGGAAAACCTAGCAAGGCCCTGCGCACCTGCACCTTCGCGATCAGGAGGCAGCCCCACCCCCACCCACCCTGGACACAGCCCCCCTAGAGTGAGGGGCTCAGGCCCTGCTGCAGGAGGCCAGAGCATCAACCTACTTCTGGGAAGAAGGGCGACAGGTGGGTGGAGGTTAGAGACCCCATGGCTGTGAGCCTGCCAGGCCGTGGGCCGGGATGCCTCAGAGCTGTCTGACCTCTCCCCCAGTTGGGTGTGATGGGCAGCGTGTGAAACCAGGCTGCCCAGGGACCCCCAGCTCCGTAAGCTGCTCAGGGCAGCCTGGATTTGGGGCCACGACGGCGCCAAGGGAAGTTCTTTGTACTGGGCACCATTTGGCAGGAGAGCACCTTGGGCTGGCGACCACCTTGCTTAGGGCCTGGCCCTGCAGGGACCCTGTGCGTTAGGCCAGGGACTCCCTTTCTAGCAGGGGAATGGAGGCTGGGAGGCGATGTGAGTCTACCCTACCCTGGATCCCGGCAGGCCAGCTCCTGATGGTTACCATCTCCACTCTGACTCAGTTTCCAGATTCTTCTGGAAGGCTGTGAAAACAACTGGCCCCAAGGGCTGTACATTCCCCACAGCCCCTAGACTCAGCTGCAGCCCGAACCCCAACCTCTGCTCCTAGTCCCCAGGATGCTCCCCTGTGGCCAGGGGAGCTCACCGTGCGCTTCCGGCCTGCAGGTGGTCCTGGGAAAGTACTGTGAGACCCGCGGCAGCCTCCTGCGGAAGCACAAGCCGCCAGTGATGCTGGACACCCTGTGGCGCATGCCCCACTTCCAGAAGGTCAGTGTGCCCAGGGCCTGCACCCAGCGGGGCTGCCTGATGCTCCCTGGGCCCCTGCTCACCTGCCCCTGCGAGTTCTGGCAGCTGCCTGCTGCCTCCCTCAATCAGCCCTCTGCCCGCAGCATCCTGGAAGCTGCTGCCCTGGGGCCCGGGCTGCAGACGGGAAACATGGCGAGCGCTGGGCACGCAGGGACTGGAGGGAGCCCAGGTCGACTCGGCACACATTCTGGTGCCATGGGGGAAGGAGGCAGATGCCATCTGGGTCAAACCTCCGTCCGGGATGGGGCCCCATGCCACCTGGGACTCAGAGTATCACAGGGCATGTGACCTTCCCACTGGCTGGTGGCCGTGAGGATGGGGACAGATGTCTGCAGGTGCTGGCATGAGCACGTGGATGCCACTGCAACAGCTGAATAAGAGTCCAGGGAGGGCCCGGGGAGATGGCTCAGTGGAATAAGCACTTCCCTGGCAAGCACAAGGGCCTGAGTTCAATCCCCGGTTCTGTAAAAAAAAAAAGTCCAGGGAATAGGCTGAGGAAACAGCCCAGCGGCGTGGCACCTGCCCAGCAAGGGCAAGGACCTGAGTTCGAGTTCCAGTGCCCCCCACCCCAGGAGCCCAGGGAACAATCTGCTCTGGCCTTAGGTCTTTTTATTTTTGTCAGTCCATGTCCGCAGCCCATGTCTGTATTCCTTGTGGGGGTTGGCGTGTGGATGCGACACACCTTCTTAGCTCATCCCCTCCCCGTTGCCCTGCTCCCTTCTGCAGAAGTCTAAGCCCCGTGTCCTCTGTGTTTTACTTTGCTCTTTGTACTTCAGGTTTCTCATAGGAGAAGCCATGGGGTGGGTGAGCCTGTGAGTCTGAAGTTCCTCACTTCATATCACGGGCTCAAGGTGAGTCCTTTTTCTTCAGTGACTCAAGCAGGTCCTTCTTTATGGCAGAGTAGTACTCCACAGTGTGTAAATACCAGTCTCCTCATCCGTTCATCTGTGGAGGGACGCATGGGCTGCTTCCCAAAGCTAGCTATTGTTGACGGTGCTGTTACAGACATGGGCGTGCATGTGCATGGACTGCTGCCATATGATGCCTGTGGCTGCGGGGGGGACAACTCCTGGGGGACAGCTGGCTTGGGTGGACTTTCTAGCTTTGTTTCCTGAGGAATCTGAACCCTGGTCTTCACAGTGGCAGGACTGGTGCACATTCCTACCACCAAGGGAGAAGGTCGCCCCACCTCAGCAGCACCTGTCCTGCTTGGTTTCCCACTGTTGGCCATTCTCTCTGCAGTGGCCTTAGACCTGTGCCCCTGTGCCTTCCTGTGTGGCCCTGTCTTCCCCCGCCCCCAGGTAGGGACCGGCCCCAGAAGCTCCTCGCAGGCAAAGAACCATGGGTGAGCCATGCCTTTGTAGAAATGAGTGCTGGGGCCCCGGGGAGGGTCTGCCTGTGCCCAACGTGGGCAGTGGGACCAAGTTTCCTGGAGGCCCCGAGGGACTCACCCGGCCCCAGGCAGATAGCTGTACAGGGCGGAGCCCTGCCCTAAACTGTAGTTTAGACAAAGAAGGGGCCACTGCCTGAGCTAATGTACTTGAACAAGCAGCCCTGCTCCACCCACCAGGGAAGCCACTTTGACCCTTTGATGTAGCCTTTCATGTCCTGCCCGAGTAGCTGCCATCAGTGTATGTCAGTGGCCAGGGTCCCCGCTGCCACTGTGCTTGCCACTAAAGTCAACAAGAGAGCATAGCCCGGGGGCTGGCGAGATGGCTCAGTGGTCTAAAGCACCTACTTAGAACAAGCTTAGCAAAGCACAGGGACCGCGGTTCAATCCCCCAGCACCACATGCCAGCCAGCCCCGCCCCCTGGTGGGCTGAGCTGGCCACACAATAAATAAATAAATAAATGTTTTTTTTTTAAAAAAAAAAAGAGAGCATAGCCCGAAGTGCTGATCCCGGCCCTCTCAGAAGTTAGAGCCCGACGCTGTGGATGAGGTGGGTACAGGTGGTCTCCACGCCCCACCCCAAAGAGCAGGAAGGGTCCCCCAACCAGGACTGTGGACAGGTTGTGCTGGGAACCGAAGCACTGGCCTGGGCAGCTCTGATGCAGAAGCCAACGACTGTTTCTAGTTTTTTAAAAAGGACTTGTGCAGTGGACCTGTGGTCTCTCCCGGGCACAAGGCCATTGCCCTGAGACCCTGGGAATCCTCTTACTTAGTGCCAGGCATGATGCAGCATCCTTGTGTCCTTTCTGCAGGGGTGGGGTGGGACACACAGGGCCAGTGCTGTCCTCCCCACAGGGAGCTGCTGGCCTGGGACCCAGATCAGGATGCAGGGTCAGCTGGCAGCTGCACGGTGCCTGCTGTGCCAGAGACAGTGACTCGGGGTAAAAGTGAAGGCCCGGCTTCTCCGGGGGCTTTCCTCCTTCCTGGGGTGCTCAGGGGATTCTGGCCATCGCCACACTCCCTCATCTGGTCAGCCAGAAACCACAGGAAACAGCATTGTGTGTGGCTCAGTAAAGTGAACAGAGAGCCTAAGAGCTGCTGCCACGATGGGAGGTCACACGCAGCCCCCAGCCCCTGCCGGGAAGGAAGGCCAGCAGGAGTACTTCCTGAGGTTCTCCCAGCAAGCAGGAGGCTGAGGCGGGAGATCGCCAGGAGTGGGAGACCAGCCTGAACTGCAGAGCAAAACCCAGTCTCAAAAAGACAAAATAAGGGGGGCCGGGGAGATGGCTCAGTAGAATAAGCGCTTGCCTGGCAAGCGCAAGGGCCTGAGTTCAATCCCCGGTTCTGCAAAAAAAAAAAAAAAAGACAAAATAATTTCAGGAGAAACTTACTGAGCCTTTTCCATGTGTGGGGTGCTGGGTGTGCATTAATTGTAGCGGTCACCTCTCCATTCCACTGATGGGGAGAGCCTCAGCTCTCAGGAGGCTGAGGCAAGAGGATCATCCCGGATTCGAGGCCAGGCCAGCTGCACAGTGAGCCCAAGGCCAGCCTGAACCACATAGCAAGACTCTGTCTCAAAAATTTTTTAAAAGGGGAAGAATTGCGTGCCCGCTGCCCCCCAGAGCCCAGCCCCCTTCTGCCACCAGCCGAAGGCCCTGCCAACAGCCAGGCCCAGGCTGCTGGGGCTGCACACGAAGCCCTGGGAGGGTCATTGTCTGACCCGCTGCCCCCACCTCAACCCCATTATGAAGGAAGAAAGCATTTCCAAAAAAGTCGGACCTGTCATGGTGATGGACAATGTAAATGGACTCTCCCGCTTGCCAACAGATGTCGGTGCTGAACTCTGTCAGAAATAATTAAACACCTTTCACCTCTGAGACAGCAGGCAGGGTGCGGTGGCCGCTGCGACTGGTCCCAGCCAGGAGGGCTGCCCCGCAAGAGGGCAGTGAGACGCTGTCCCCAGGGGGCCCCAGCTGCAGGGGCCAGCAGCAGGCAAGGCAGAGAGGGGCCCAGGCGAGGGGCACTATCTCCACATCTGGAAATGGGAGCCAAACATGGTGGGGTGTGCCATGACCTCAGCACACACGAGGTGGAGGCAAGAGGATGGCTGAGAGCTCAAGCCGGCTTGGGCCACAGAGGGAGTCCAAAGCCAGCCAGCAGTAGAGTGTGGGACCCTGTCTCAAGCCCCTCCTCCCAAGTGGCCTGTGAGAGATTAGCTCTTTAAGTGCTCTTCCAAGGCAAGATCCAAGGATTCCCAGGCCCCAGCTGACCCCTGGGGGAGCAGCAGGGGTCCTTCCTGGGGCTCCCACTTAGGGGATAGTTCATGACCACGTTGTGCCCCCCAAGTGCAGGAAGCAGGGCAGGGAGCGGGGCAGCACCTCCAGGGCTAGCAGCCTTGGTCATATGGTGACGTGCCACTCCCACCTGCTGAGATGCTGTGACAGGACCAGGATTGCGCAGCACGCCCAGCATCGCCCACTGGGGTCATCGGGGAGTGGCGGCTGCTGTGAGGGAGTTGAAGGTCATTATCTGTCCTTTCCTTCGTTCCTCCACAAATCTTTTCCGAGCACCGCAGCGCAGAGCCTGTTCTCAGTGCTTTTGACACTGTGGTGAACACGGAGGGAGGCTGTGACTGCTGCCGGCCACTGGCAGGGAGTGAGATGGACTAACAGATGCCAAGGACAGACAGAGGGAGTGGGACCGCTCCTGTGGCGACAGCCCCATCAGCCCACACGGCCGGGCTGTGCTGGACGCCTGTTCCTCCTGACGCATGGTCCCTGGTCACCTGATCATAAGCTGGGAAAAGTGGGTGGTTGATCCTTCAGCACTCTCCAGTGCTGAGAGCTGCACCACCACACTGGCCAGAGGGGGTGGTGGCCATGGAGAGGTGGCCGGGGCCCTGTGGAGGCCAGGACAGCAAAGTGAGGCACAGTCTAGGAAGGTACCATTTCCACCTGCACCCACTGACAGGCTACCAAGTGCTGCTGGGTGAAGGACCTGGGTGGCTGACCCCAACAGGCAGAGCACCCAGGGTCCCGCGGTGTGGGGCCAGCGCTACGGGTGCTGGCACAAGGGTCCCCGCCTCGTAACTGTGGTGATAGGGAGAGGGTGGGACAATTTTTCTCTAATGTTCTTTTTTCTTTTTCTTTTTGTGGTACCAGGGATTGAACTCAGGACCCTGCACTTGCCAGGCAAGCACTTATTCTACTGAGCTATCTCCCTGGCCCCTCTCTAATGTTCTCTCCTGCATGGTTTGAGTTTTGTTTTTTCAATTTTTGTGGTACTAGGGATTAAGCCCGGGCCTTTGTACTAAGTCACGTCCCCAGCCTTTTTTATGGTTTTGAGACAAGTCCTTGCTAAAGTTGGCCAGGCTGGATCTGAACTTGTGATCTTCCTGCCTCAGGCTCCCAAAGTGCTTGTAATGCAGACATATGCTGCTGCACCCTGGCGAGTACATGGAATTTTTTTCTTTTAACAAAACCAGTCAGTCTTTTTTTTTTTTTTTTTTTTTTTTCCGGAACCGGGGATTGAACTCAGGCCCTTGCGCTTGCCAGGGAAGTGCTTGTTCTACTGAGCAATCTCCCCATTCCCAGTCAGGCTATTTTTTAAAATGGTTCTTGTTTATTTATTTTTGTGTGTGTGTGTCCAGCTCAGCCCACCAGGGGGCGGGGCTGGCTGGCATGTGGGGCTGGGGGATTGAACCGCGGTCCCTGTGCTTTGCCAAGCTTGTTCTAAGTAGGTGCTTTAGACCACTGAGCCATCTCACCAGCCCCTTAAAATGGTTTTTGGAAGATGGGAGAGTCCAGTTTCTTTTGGGTGTCTCCCCAGTGGTGCACCCCACCTTGAACCTGTCCTTCCTGGCGGAAGCACTCCATGTTGCTGGAAGATGTGCCTCTCCCATCCCGCGCCCACGCTGGCCGGAGCTCCACAGCCGAGTCCACGTTATAACGGCCCCACTCTCCTCACAGAGCTGACCTATCCTCGGCAGCTCCAGTCCCAGTGACATTACATACTTGTTCAGCCACCAAAGCATGAACAAATTGACTATATTTTCATTCGGCTTTTGGCTTCAGCCCCAGTGCTTGAGAATAATGGCCCAAGCTATTAAGCTAACAGCTTGATTTACAAGCTCGCCTGCTCCGGCCGGACGCGAGATCAGCCTCCTTGCTTTGTGGAGGACTAACCCTGCCTGGGTCTCTTGGGCCTCTGGCTTCCTAACAGGAGCTGCAGACAGAGGGGAAAAAATGGAGCAGCAGTCAGCCAAGCAGTGACACCCGGAGACCAGCTGATTAGTGAAAGCTGCTGAATCTAAGAAAAGGATTTTCCTTGCCACCCTTAAGCTCTCTTACAAATCATAGCTGGCTGGGAAGTTAACTCTCTGTTAAACCCCCAGAGCGGGCTCCTTCCTGTCCACCCTGCCACCTCCGCCCCTCTGTGGGTTAGCTCTTGGGTGCCCCCAAC